CAGAGATTGCATAATAAATGACATCACTAATGCTTAAAATGTTCACATTAAGATGAACAGACCACACACTAGAATGTGAAGGGACGACGACGTTTCGGCGTCCTGGACCAATCTCAAGTCGATTGAGATTGGTCCAGGACGTCCGTTTCGGTCCGTCCTGGTCCAATCTCAAGATTCGACTTGAGAATGGTCCAGGACGGACCGAAACGTCGTCGTCCCTTCACATTCTAGTGTGTGGTCTGTTCATCATACTTTAGCCACGTTATTGTGACTCATCGCCTGGATATGTTCACATTAAGAAACAATAGTCTATGGCAACTGAAGATCAATCAGTTTAACAATTTCAACATAAATGGTTAATACAGTTGTAGTGATAACACAGGGAATTGAAATGGGTTGTAGTAGAGATAATGATTTAATGTAAGCCTCTTGCAGACTTACAGCTTGATCTGAATCAGGGTGCGAATAACGACCTTAGCTTAGATAATCTTAGATAATCTTAGGTAAGCTTAACTGCTTTTAATAACTATTTTTATGATTAATTCCAAGTGTCAGATACAGGAAGGTAACATTGAGGTTACCCAAATCTCCCTTAGGGTCATCTACTGACCCTAAGGGAGGTCAGTAGATACATCTACTGGTTGCATCTACCCCAAGATGCAACCCTCAACATTTGCCTAACTCCCGGGTACCTATATATTGCTAGGTGAACCGGTGCATCAGGTGATAGGAAAACGTGCCCAATTCTGGACTGACTGGGGAACTGAACCCGGTTACTTCGATTGTGAGTCGAGGACGTAACCTACTTTGCCAAAGGACCCAATGTTATTCCCTTTGCAACAATTAAATCATCTAGATAATAAAAAAAATCAACAATTTAATATTTGATTTATATAAGTCGGATTATTTTTGGGAAATAAGATTATGGTGCGATTAATCTGATGTTAATTGAAAGTCTGATTCACACTTTATTATACAAATAATTTTAGTTTCAGAAGTTTACTGTGAAAGACTTATTTTTTGTAACTGTCTGGTCCTTCTGTTTATGTTGGTGTCTCATCAAGACACCTCAGCACATAAAGTTCCAAGTAGCACGGGCTATGGTGAGCCCGTAGGTGGAGGCTCTTTGGAGCCATTATCTGTATCAATGGCTGATACTAGAGGTCTGGGGGATGGGTGTGAGTCTCCAATCTGGATATGGAAGGCTGACTGAAGCATTCAGCCTGTTGTTGTTTTAGATTTAGCTACGCAGAACGAAATGTGCATGTAGCACGGGCTATGGCGAGCCCGTCAGCGTCCAGCCCTCAGTTAGGCTCTATACACCTTGATGGTGAGATGCAGCTCAGATTGGAGTATTGTGTAAACTAGAAAGTTCTTTTGAGCACAAGAGCTGCCTATCCACTGACGCCTGGATGGCATTGTTGAACATCGATGGTTCAAACGGTTGGGCACCGTTCCTTCATTCCACCTTCATAACCCAGCACTTAGTCTTTCTCTTATCCCTTCCAAGAGCTGTATACTCATACTGTCTCAGCGTATTCCTCTCACAGTCACTTTATGTAACAATAGGACCCAAGGAACGGCTGACAGATTAGCGCAAGCGATGCAATTTTGCAATACCAAACTAGTACCACGAGCTTAGATCCAACGTCAAACTAATCAGAGAAAGAGTTAGAAATCTTGAATATTAGAACTTCATCGTTCCCACTCTTTCATTCTGTTTACTTTGGATAATAATTAAACAGATCACTCTCGAAACTCTACTCTCAAACAATGTTTTTTTTTTACATGCAAGTAAACAATGTTGCAAGTGGCTATAATTTGCAGCTGCGATGAACATTAGATTTCAGTGGCGTTTATCATCTTCTGCTGCTGCACCACCACCAGCAGCAGCAGCAGTATCAGCAGCAGCAGCAGTATCAGCAGCAGCAGCAGTAGTCAGCTTATCTATAAACGCTGTGAAATAGCTTTTGTAATTGTTCCTTTGATGCGGTAAAGCCTGCCACTCTCAAGGGGAAATGATCTGTCCTCCCAACACAATATATATATATATATATATATATATATATATATATATATATATATATATATATATATATATATATATATATATATATATATATATATATATTGAAAGCAGTCGGTTTTTGAAACGTGTTAATATGACCAAAAGAGTTAATCAATTCTTATAGCACAAAAGAACACGTTTCACTAAACTACATCTTGGCATCTTCAGAGGCATGGGGGGGTAGTAGTGAAGACATATGGCCAGGGACGATAATGTATATTCCAAAGATGTATGAAAAGAGATGATGTTATTCCCCTGTCTAGACAACTGTAATCCTGTACTACATTCTCACTGATCGACTAGGTTATTATGTGAGGCGCTATGAGCTAGCAGTTCTGGCAAGGTTTTGTAGATAAGCACACCTGTGTTTAAGATGGCTATTGATACTTAGCAGAGTGCTTCAGGTAAAGTGCTTCAGCTATATCTAATCTGGTGTTATCACTATATTTGTCGAATATTTTTATATTGGAGGTTTGGATATTAATGACTATAGACTTGTGTGTGTCGAAATGCTGTGTTCTTGCATTGAGAGTTGTATTTGCAATTTTTTTGTTTAATATTTGCCCTGTGGGTGAATTTATTTGGCAACGACATTCATTTGTGGGTGAACATGCCGCCATAGCAGCATGTACAGCACTCCCCAATTGGAAGAAAACCCGCTGGGTTGTTCACAATTCCCTTGTACCCAGACGCATTGAGACTCACGTAACTGTCTCTCCTTGTTCATCAAACAAGAAGAGCAACTTGTAGCAGTGTTGCATGTGCAGAGCAAGGTGGATCTTGGTGCACAGGACGTCAACATTCTTGAAAAGAGATGTTGGCGTCCTGCCCATATATTCAGATCTTTGGAACTATGTTACACACTCACACACACACACACACACACACACACACACACACACACACACACACACACACACACACACACACACACACACACACACAAAGCCCAGCACTATGACCTTTCCTAACCAGGCCAACGGGACCACACTATCACTGCGAATACTGACTACTGAATGCTCTGGTGAACTCAGCCACAACTTCCTCAAAGGGTGTGCTGTGTGTGGCACAGTCTTGCTGGTCATGTCTATATGTTGGTGAGCTGGATACCTTAGAGCTTTGTATAACACAGACACACCTTGAATTTTGTGTGTGTGTGTATGTGTGTGTGTATGTGTGTGTGTGTGTGTGTGTGTGTGTGTGTATGTGTGTGTGTGTGTGTGTGTGTGTGTGTGTGTGTGTGTGTGTGTGTGTGTGTGTGTGTGTGTGTGTGTGTATGTGTGTGTATGTGTGTGTGTGTGTGTGTGTGTGTGTGTGTGTGTGTGTGTGTGTGTGTGTGTGTACTTTAGGAATTTCCTGTCTTAATCCTTCTTTCGTGATCTGACATTGTCACATTTTTCATCACGTGTTAATTTCTTCGTGATTAACACATTATAAACACAGAAAAAGAAAAGTCTGAAAAGATCGTATAAGAAATACGAAAAGAGAGAATATAGAGTATCAGGATGAGAAGGAACCGTATTAGGAGTAGAATGAGGGTAAGCAATAGAAGGAGAATTAAAGATTAGGATATGGAGAAATAGAATGAAGAGGAACAGTGTCAGGATAAGCAATAAAAGATGGAACAGGCTAAAGAGGAGGACAAGGAACAGGCAGTAAAGCATCATTACCATTACTACCAATAATAGTCGTGTTAAGACCAACAATAATACAACAACAATACAGCAATAATACAGCAAAAATACAGCAAAAATACAGCAACAACAGCTGGAGGATAAGGAGCAACAGGACGAATATAAATATAAGCTTAAGAAGCAGGATAAGGAGGCTGTGGATAAGGAAGAGGATAAGGAGGATGATGTGGAAAATAAGATGGATGAAAATAAAACTGAGCAGGATAAGGAAGAGGTGGATAAGGAGGAAGAGAAAGAAAATGGAAAAGGACTGTGAAAGGAGAATGAGAAATGAGAGAATAAAAAGGGGGAAATAAAACAGGAATTAAGAAAGTAAAAAGCGACAGGCTAAGAAAGTATGAATGGAAACACAAGAGAATGGAAATCACATCCTAGAGAGACGTATAGGAAGAGAGAAAATATGAAAGAAAAAGAGAAGTAGATAGACAGACAACGTGAATATATTTCAAAACAAGGGAAAGTCAGAAAAGAAGATGCAATTGAAAAGGGAAAAAAATCAAGTGTAAGATGCAAGAGTAACCAGGAACAGCAGGAGGAAAGAAGGGGAAAAGTGTACGGGAATAAGCAAGTAGTCGATAAAGAAGGAAGAAGCGAGTGTAAGAGATCGACGCAAACATGGAACAGGCACAAGTAGTAAAGGTGAAATATGACACAATATAAGATAAATGGAATGAAAATATACTTAAACAAATAATCCATCAATAAATAAATAAATAAATAAATAAATAAATAAATAAATAAATAAATAAATAATTAAATAAATGATTAATCGAGAGAGTACAGCTGTCTTCCCCCCCCCCCTGAAATCCCTTTTGGTAGCGAGGTAAGTCTTAATATATGGTAAGTCCAAGGCAGGACTTGAATGGTGTGTAAAAATTAGCCTTAAGACGGGCAAAGGCCAACGTACGACTTAGATACGTGCATAAACCTTAAAACAGACGAAGGGCAAAGTAGGACTTACCAGTGATCACTTTTAATTAATATTCCTTTTGCTGTGGAAGAAACTTAAGAGCGGTGAGAAAGAGAGAGAGAGAGAAAGAGAGAGAGAGAGAGAGAGAGAGAGAGAGAGAGAGAGAGAGAGAGAGAGAGAGAGAGAGAGAGAGAGAGAGAGAGAGAGAGAGAGAGAGAGAGAGAGAGAGAGAGAGAGAGAGAGAGAGAGAGAGAGAGAGAGCCAGGCGATGGAGGGACCGGCCTGAGAGAGAGCCATGGGTGCCAGTAACGGCCCAGCACTCGTGAGAGACAGTGCCTACGTGCGTGTGTGCGAGAGAGAGAGAGAAAGTGTGTGTGTGTGTGTGTGTCTTAGAACACCTCGAACGCTTGCACACACAATGTGTCTTCTCCCGACGCCTCTACAAGCACGGACACAACCGGAAAACTGGTTTTAAACCCTCGTCTGATGCCAGAATGGTTTTAAACCTAACTACTGACTAGTGCCAGAACACCTCCTCCAGGATTGTGCTGAAAATCGTGAAGTGACGTTACCAAACAGGAGTGAGGATTGGTACTAAGTGCTGGTGATATAGAGTGATTGGTGGCAACATTGACTCCATAACTCAAGACGCTCTTATGGATCACTAATGCTGAAAATTGTAAGACAGTTAACACCAAAGATCTTACGTATCAATATTAAAAACGGTAAGGTATTTTATTTTATAATGTTGTTGAATATGACCGAAAGGGTAAGATTAATCATTCTAACACGAATTTTCTCAATATTTCTTTCGATCTTTCTTCACTGTCGAGGGTAATTGAAAAATTAATTCTCCAAAATTCATTTTTCATTTTTATTTAGGGTCTGACGCCTAGGAGCGTTTCGCAAGACTTCTCATATTTTCAAAGACTAATTTTTATGTACTCCGTCTCATGCTTATATTGTATTTTTTGTGAGTGAGGTGATTGGGCACAAATATATATATATTATATAAACTCAATGGGTTGCATCTGATTATTATTGAATGAAATCTTCTTATCTTCAGCTCTTGTGGCTCATTGGGTATCTGCAGCCTGCTCAGTATATGCTTCCAACCTGCTCAGTATATGCTTGCAACCTGCTCAGTAAATGCTTCCAACCTGCTCAGTATATGCTTCCAACCTGCTCAGTAAATGCTTGCAACCTGCTCAGTATATGCTTGCAACTTGCTCAGTATATGCTTGCAACTTGCTCAGTAAATACCGACGAACGCCCTTACCCTATTCTTCAGGCAATTGATCCATATAATCACCTTTGCTCGCTTTGGTATCACACAAAGTGATCAAATCAAATAAAAAAAAGTGATCACATTTTTATCACCCAGAATCCGTTGAAAGATTCCATTGTTTCCGTGTTCATCTGTTCCATGTTTCACTGTTTATTTGTTTCTGTTTTAAGTAGTTATCTGTTCCTCGTTTCTGTGTTCTGTTATTCCGTTTCAGTTTCATTTCGCCTTGTTTTGGTGTTCATTTGTTTCTTATTTTAATGATTTGTTTCCTTTGATTTGTTCATCTCTTCCTTGTCTCAGCCTTCAGCTGTTCCTTGTGAGCATTAGCAAGCTCTCTTTGCTTGTTTGCGTCTTTTCTAATTATTGTCAGTCTTGTCATCTTCCTCATTCTCTGACCTGGGTTCATTCCTCATTCTGTAACCTGGCTTCATTCCTCATTCTGTAACCTGGGTTCATTCCTCATTCTGTAACCTGGCTTCATTCCTCATTCTGTAACCTGGGTTCATTCCTCATTCGATCTTCACATTTTTTAGATTGAATGTAAATGTCACTCATAGAGATAATGTATTTTTTTTTAAGTCCCTGGATCCTTAAAATATTGAAAAATAAATGATATGTTGCATAACCACTGAAATCCTCAATTAATCCTGGAAGCATTTCCGGGATTACTTCTAAATCCTGCATTTTTACTTGACTAATTAAGATTCATTATTTTAGTATTAAATTAATACGTAAGTAGTGTTTGTAAATAAACTTATTTAATGCGATTAGGGTCACCACAAGGGGCTGTGATGAGGGTTCGAACCTACGGACGGGATGTTCCCAACTGCGCCTTAGCCAAATGCGCCACGACATAGTCAAAAGAATTGTAACCTGGAGGGTTTTGGTCCTCACTAGGATCCTGAAACTTCTCCGAAGCCCAATCGGGTTTGCCACACAATTCCCCCTAATCACCCGGGCTCAATACTTCTGCTCGATACTGTAGATTTGTTCATTTGATACATCAGGCTATTGTGATTTCTGTGTGTGTGTTTGTGTGTCGATTAGGGAGGTTTATGGGCTAGTAGACAGAGGATTCAATCCCTGGTAAGGGGGATTGGAAACGAGGATAGTTTCATCTCTCTTCTCTATTCCCCTGGATGTAAATCCATTGTGTTCTTGTGTTCTTGAAAACTCTATGTAAGTTCAAAGTTATTATAAAACGCGGGGGGGGGGGGGACGAGAATTATCAGGAGATAGCGCAAAGCCATTACGTCTATATAGCACTTAGAACGGGTCAGGATAAGGATTTGGGCTGGGACGGAGGAAAAGGAATAGTCCCCAACCACTTTTAGACAGTCGAGGGATTGAACGCCGACCTGCATGAAGCGAGACCGTCGCTCTACCGTCCACCCCAAGTGGCAGTTGGAGAGTTGTTAACTACCAAACACCATTAATATAACATGATCTCCTGATTTGCCTCAACGTACAAAATAAGGGGTACTAAAATGCCTGAACCCAAGCCACCCATCTAACCTAACTAACCTACTCGTAGAAAACGGAGAAATATATTATCCACCACTTTTCATAATACCCCTTATTTTGTACGTTCAGGGGGGGGGGGCCATAGCGTACAAAATGATACGCGTCAATTGAGAGGATAGGAAGGGGAGGATTACAAAGGTTACAAAGGTCCTACCCGCTTCTGTACCCTACAGTGTAAAAATACAGACATATGATAATAATATGATAATTGCGTTGTACGCCTTTTGGGGTGAAATTTTTATTTTTGTAAACAGACGGTTTTGTAAATAATCCTTTTTGTAAACAGACGGTTTTGTAAATAATCATTTTTGTAAACAGACGATTTTGTAAATAATCATTTTTGTAAACAGACGATTTTGTAAATAATCATTTTTGTAAACAGACGATTTTGTAAATAATCCTTTTTGTAAACAGACGGTTTTGTAAATAATCATTTTTGTAAACAGACGGTTTTGTAAACAATCATTTTTGTGAAAAGCTAGTTTTGTAAACAGGATTTTTCGTAAATAGAAACAGTGCAGCGGTACTGAGCAGTGGTGATGTGCAGCAGTACTGAGCAGTGGTCCTGTGCAGCAGTACTGAGCAGTGGTGCTGTGCAGCAGTACTGATCAGTGGTCCTGTGCAGCAGTACTGAGCAGTGGTCCTGTGCAGCAGTACTGAGCAGTGGTGCTGTGCAGCAGTACTGAGCAGTGGTGCTGTGCAGCAGTACTGATCAGTGGTCCTGTGCAGCAGTACTGAGCAGTGGTCCTGTGCAGCAGTACTGAGCAGTGGTGCTGTGCAGCAGTACTGATCTGTGGTCCTGTGCAGCAGTACTGAGCAGTGGTCCTGTGCAGCAGTACTGAGCAGTGGTGCTGTGCAGCAGTACTGATCAGTGGTCCTGTGCAGCAGTACTGAGCAATGGTCCTGTGCAGCAGTACTGAGCAATGGTCCTGTGCAGCAGTACTGAGCAATGGTCCTGTGCAGCAGTACTGAGCAATGGTCCTGTGCAGCAGTACTGAGCAATGGTCCTGTGCAGCAGTACTGAGCAATGGTCCTGTGCAGCAGTACTGAGCAATGGTCCTGTGCAGCAGTACTGAGCAGTGGTGCTGTGCAGCAGTACTGAGCAATGGTCCTGTGCAGCAGTACTGAGCAATGGTCCTGTGCAGCAGTACTGAGCAATGGGGCCTTGACAAGCAACAGTGGCCAGTAAAAAGAAAGCTGTTTCTGCAGTGAACAGTAAAACAGTATTTACCCCTCTCCCTAGACAGTCGGCTGTTCTGTTTCTTCCTCTCTTTGTCTTCTCTCTTTCTCTTTGTCTTCTTCTTGTACGTCTTCGTCTTCATATTTTTCTTGCTTCTTATTTTTATTATTATTATTATTATTTCGTAATTATTATCTATTTCATATTTATTATTATCAGTCTCATTTGCATGGATACCATCTCATACAGGTGTTGTCTAGAATGACCACACAGCTAAAACTGCATGTGATAAGCCTGAAATTGAGGTGGATATGGGCCTTTCAATCTCTGTTGTAAAAGCTGAAATATTTCAGGAAATTGGGGAAGACAGAAAAGCAGTTACTGACACTCGAAGGTCAGAAAGCACGAGTATAAAGAGCTATGATATGTTTAGAACCGAGAATTATATGTAAGGATAGCATAAAGCATTCACTAGATAGTGGGATATTGTGATTGCCAGAATTAGGTTGGGATATCGATATCTATGGCAGGTGGCTATAAGTAAGGAATTTCCCCAATGGTGAACATTCCAATTGTAAACTATGTGAACATAGAACTAGGATATACTCTCCAACACTATCTGTGATTCCCCTGTTATCAGTGACTCCAGACCAAATGGTATGAGGCACTTTGAGCTCTGTAATTACTTCATACACTCAGGATTATTGGAAGATATACTTGTGCTGTACCCAGATTTTGCTACTGGAGGCTAATAGATCAGCCTTACATTTCATGCTCTCTACTGATGCCATGTACGACTAACCATCCTGTGAGATGATGATATTAGATGAACTTATAGCTAGTTTTGATCTACACTGTGTAATCTTTTATACAGAATAGAGTAGCAGCACTTTGCTGTGTATACCTAAGCTTGTTAATAACTAAAAAATATATTATTAGTAGTAGTAATAATAATTATAATAATAACACACATAGTGTAATCACACTAACTTGACTACATCAATGCATTTACGTGGGAACACAAAATACATATGTTCGAATCCTTATCACAGCTCCAACGGATTTCCTCAATAATAATAATAAAATATAAATTATTAATAATACTATCATTACTATTAGCAATTTTTATTATTATTTCTATGAGTAAAATCTCTGATCTGATTATTTTATTCTCTCTTTATTTTAATCATTAATAGTATTTCTGCAAAATGCCACAATTGGAATTCTGTTCACCTGTCATAAATCTAATTAAAAATCGTGTTGTGGTGAAGCTCCAGGTAACACCAATCACCCTCCCAATCCACGCTAATGATACGGAATAATTTCTCCCGCATTTTAATGCCCATTCTGGCTAAATGGCCCTCCGGAAAATGGCTAAATTCAAAATAAGGAGATTGTTTAATATCTGGTGAAATCTGTTTCAGACAGGACAATTGACAAATGCTCTATCCCTTTGTAAATGCATAGAGCGTCATAGAGACTGTATAGAGACAGTGTCTAAATCTTTGTTGCTGGAGGCAGACGTACATAGAGGCTCTATGTAGGCTGGCTATGTAATCTTATATGTAAACCTAACCCAACTGTATATATAAATATATATATGTATATATAATATGTCGTATCTAATAATGTTCATAACAAGTCGGACTCATCTTTTTAAATTTAGTTTTTGAAAATTTTAACGAATGTCCCGATAAAAATATTCGTTTAATAAACATTATATCGTCCGAGAT